ATCATGTCATTGTTATGCAAGCATTGCTAACATGTCTTTTTATATTGAAAACTTAAGAATAACATAATTTGCATGTTAAAAGAATTACTTCGGCCGAGTAGGCCTATCGTTTTTAAAGATACTTCTTGTTAGTTAGTCATACTCTACTGTTTTTCGCATTTTAATGAATTCTCCCTATTCCTATAATTATGTTTCTAAAATAGATTTAAAGCACACAGAGGAAGCTACGATCGACATATCTGGTAGATATTGGGACGGTTCACACCAAGAGTCTTCACTCCTTTTTATGCCAAAATTATTATACTAAATAATACCTTAAAATTAAAAGAAATAAATAAAAAAAACTTCATCTACATCTACATTATACTGCTTTAAAATCGTTTACGATTACACTAAGTAGGCGAGTTGTCTGGGAATATCTGTTAAAAACAAATGTGTTTAGTGCATAGGATAAAAGCAAGTTTAAAAAGAACAACAAGACTGAGATAAAAAGTCAAAAGCAAAGCTGAATTAGAACTGGTAAAAAGGGTGCAGCCCAGTAAAGAGGTCTAAACTAGGACTAGCTTGTAAGGACACGGGTAGGCCATTCCACAGACGAATATTTCTGGGGGGAAATGAATAGGAGTGGTATTGTGTCCTTGAGTATGGTATTAGGTAGTTCAGGTTTTTAGTGGGTGTCAGATGGTGATGGTCGACCCTCAAAAGATTGTGTTGGATTTTGTAGAGGAGGGTAACAGAGCTGATGTTTCGCCTCTGCTCTAGAGTTTGCGAATTAAGTTCACATATCATTTTAGATACACTACTGGTGTAATTGTAGTCGTTGTATACATATCTGGCAGCTGATCTTTGAACTTGTTCTATTTCGTAAACCAGATATTTTGCCAAGGATGCCAAACCGTGGAACAGTATTCTAACTGGGGCCTTACATAGGTTTTGTAGGCAGTTTCTTTAACGTTTTTGTTTGAAGTTTTGACATTTCTTTTTATAAATCTGAGTGAATTATTTGCTTTTGCTTTTGCTGTTATGTTGTTTATATAATTACCTTTGGCTCATAAATCTTTACTAATTGTTACACCTTAATATTTTGCAGCAGCCTCAGTGGATTTTAGTTGTTAACCATGTAAATAATGAGGGAATGCTACTGGATGTTTTTGCGGCTGATACTAAGGACTTCACATTTATCTTGGTTAAATTCCATAGACCAATCAGATTCCCTGTTTTCAAGACTGTTGAGATTTTTTTGGATGATTTGTGCATCTTGGGTTGATTTGATTGTTATGTTTACTATTGTATCGTCTACAAATAGTCTAACATTGCCCTTAACACTACCAGGGAGGTCATTTATGTAAGATAAGAAAAGGTAAGGTCCCAGGACCGAGCCTTAGGGGACACCAGACCAGAAAGAACTGCTATATTGTCAGAGTTTTGATCATCGACAAAGACCTATTGGGTGCGTCTGTACAATGTATAAAAATGATGGTCGACTTTATCAAATGCTTTGCTGAAGTTCATGACAATGATATCGTCTGTTGGCCTTGCTCTAAATTGTCATGAACTTTCTGGGTGAAACTGATAATTGGGTTGCTATCTAAAAGGTCAAGGTCACACTTTAAGGTCAAATGTTAAAAAATCTACGTACATTTTGTGTCCGCTCCGTAACTTTTTAACTGCTGAACTTTTTAAAAAATATTTTGGCACAATTGATCACCATTATAAGAACATGTGCAGAGCGCAATAATTGTGTTGCTATCCCTAAGATCAAGGTCACACTTAAAAAGGTCAAGTGTTAAAAGGTCTACATTTGATTTCCGCTTAATAACTTTTAAACCGCTGAATTTTTTTTAATTAACTTGACAAAAGTGTTCACCATTATGAGACGATGTGCAGAGCGCAATAATTGGGTTGCTACCCCCAAGGTCAATGTCATACTAAAAGGTCAAGTGTTAAAAGTCTACATTTCGTGTCCGCTCCATAACTGTTAAACCACTGAAAAGTTTTTTTAATCACTTGGCACAAGTGATCACCATTATGAGACAATATGCAGAGAGCGATAATTTAATTGCTACCCCAGGTCAAGGTCACACATGTCAAATGTTAGAAAGTCTACATTTCGCGTTCGTCCATAATATTTAAACTGCTGCAATGTTTTTTAAGACTTGGCAGAAATAATCAACATTATGACATCATTGGCAGCTAGAGCACAATAGTCAAGTCATAACCCTGAAGGTCAGGGTCACACACATAGATCCAATGTAAGAACATCTATTTTTCATGACCGCTCTTTAAATTATTGACAGTTCAAAGGTTTAAAAATTACTTGGCACAAATGACCCCCAACATGACACAATCTGGCTCAACATCCAGGTTGCTATCCCCAAGGTCAAGGTTATATGTTCTCCATAACTTTTTGACTTTGTGGAAGATTTTAAATAACTTGGTACAAATAATCACCATCGTAAGACTATATCTGCTTAAGATATGCATGACACAACATCAAGGTCATGGTTGGCAAAACGTCAAGAAGTACACATTCACGTTCACTTCGGAAGGGGATTTAGCTGTCCTTCAGACTGCCTTGTTAAATGAGTAATCTTCTAGTAATTTATCATATGTCCTCATTGAAACCAATTTTTTCACACATAATAACATGAATAATTCAAAACACTGTTTAAACAGAAAAAATCACTTTTCTGAGCAGATACTATACTGTTTAGATTATATTATTTACACATTCTGTAACATTTCGTAATTTTTTTCCTTCAAATTCAAGGAGAAAAACTTGACATGTTTGAAAATTATCAATGTTAATTTAATATCTATTGCAAATTTTTCAATAAATAAATTGTTTATAATAAAATCATGGAGCTAAATATAAGATTTATATATCTGTGATAAAATCAATAAAATTAAAACAGTCGTAGTGGTATCAGAGACATACATGTAGATAACTATGTCTCTGGTAGTATCTTCCATAATAAATAAATTAAGTCATATTCTGTGTAAACCTGTGTAATTACTTTATCTTTTGTATGGAATTATATATTCGATGATATTTAATTATTTTCTTACATAGAAATAACAGTTTTATTTCACTTAAATTAAAAAAGTCCAAAAACATAAGATAAGAGTTCGTTATTACACTCCAGGTCTCAACCCGGTACGGAATTAGATTGAACCCATTGTAGTCTAGAAAGTAGTTCTTTAAAATTTTGAAATGGCCCAGTTTAAGTCATCTCTAGTTAGATTGGTCATAATTAAAGTGTATTTATTGCATATGTGTAGTTTTTGTGTGTTATATGATGACTTTAAAAGTTATTTTTTGTGTATTCTCCAGGAACTCATTTGTTGGTGGAAGGATTAAAGCAATCTCCTACGCAGTGATCTCCCCTTATCAGTCAAACTCCAATCTCCTACGCAGTGATCTCCCCTTATCAGTACAGAGATCTCTGCCATCACAAACATTGAAATATCCAAATTTGGATATTTATTTTTTTTAGCTTTTTAATTTATTTTTCATTATTTTGTGTACTTTTGATAATTTTTTGTTAAAATATAACGGACGTAGGTACAAAAAGTTAAAAATAAAACAGAAAGAGAAAAATGACGTTAGATTTTCTATGTAACGGTCGATATTTACATTTGAATTTCGACGTTACGTCATGTGACTTTCATCATCATGTGACGTCTGTGAAGGCAGTGATTACAATTCTGCCAAGGGAGGTAATCAGTGTGAGGAGTTTGGTCAAACTCCTCACAGTGATTACCTCCCTTGGCTGAATTGTACTGTACTGATAAGGGGAGATCACTGCGTAGGAGATTGCTTATCAGTACAGAGACAATTCTGCCAAGGGAGGTAATCAGTGTGAGGAGTTTGGGATTAAAGATGTACTACCCACCAGCTGTCAGGAGTTTTTAAAGAGGTGAATTTAAACAGTGTTTTAATACAACAGAATGAAGATTTCTGAAAAAAGTAGATGGCTAACCTATTATATTTTGGGCCTCATTGGCCTTAGATAGTGTTATACTCAACATCACTAATTCCGCGTCATCACTTATCTCACGGTTATGGCATATTTTCATGTGACCAGTGTTAAAATTGGTCAGAATTGACATATTTTATTCAAACACCTTAACAACAAAGTTTTTGTGCAAAATTATTTAAATCTATAGATTTTTACGTAAAACTGAACAACATTTTACAAACTTCTGCAAAAAACAACAATAGTCCATTAAATTTGTGCATACGTCTGAAACAATCATCATTTTCTAAATGTTCTTGTTTGTTGAAAGAATAAATTTTGAGTTACAATGTAAAGATACTTTTAATATTTAAAATTATGCAAAATAACATAAATAAATTTTTAACTGAAACATGAAAAAACTGAAATAAAACACCATTACCGCGAGTTAAATGATGACATACTGTTTTCAAAATGGCCGACACACGGTCTACATCTGACAAATTAAAACTTATTTTGATTGAATATATTGTTGCTTCCTTGTGTCATATAGCAGAAAAATGACTAAATGATACAGTTTATGACAGTTTTTGTAGTGTAAGTTTATTGTTTGTGTTCTTTACTGTTTTAAAGTGTTAAGTACCGTGAACTAAGAGGAGCACAGTATACTGTTTAAAGTTGAAGACAGTATATAATTCATCAAGAACAGTGGAATCCAGAATTAAGCCTCAAATTTGACTGATTTACTATAGAACAAATAGTACGAAAATTCACCGGTCCGAGTCCTCCATTGGTGAATTCCCCAAGATGTGTACAGAAAGTACCGGAAACGGCGTTTAGCTAGGTTTTCGAAATCGTGAAATTTTCCCAAACAGTCAAATCGAGCCACAATACGTTAATGACTGCATTTATAGACTTAATATTGTATATTGATATGGTAATTAAAAGGTAAGGAGTTGATTTTGACCGAAAAAGACAATTATTATATATTCATAAACTACGCAATCTTTTGTGATCCAAAATTTTGAGTACGAATTGAAACTGTTCGAATTTGCTTCGGGTGGTTTCGTGTTGGCTGAAAAGGATTCACTGCTCCCAAATTTGGAGAACTTTGATTAACAATGTCGAAATTAAAAAAATATGTTGAAGAGAGTAAAAGTACGAAGAATTCTGAACTAGAAATTATTGATAGAGGAATCAGCAATTTGTTGGATGCTCCTGGATTATGTGAGTATCCTTTGAAGTTGAAATTTAACTTTAAGGCCCCTACGGTAACAGTTTAAACGAAACGGCGGCCTAGTTATTATCACAGGGACACAGCACAGTGTTGGGATAGTGTAAAAAAGTAATTCTTAAAAAAAATATATCGTCGAGTGACCCGTTTTTACGCTGCCCTATTTCGACGCCATTTATATTTTGCATCATAATTGATATAAGCGGCCGCTTACGTCATTACTGTACTACGCTATAGCAAAAGGGGAATCCACTAGTTGGTTAGGCTACAATATGTAGTAAATAAGACACCCAAAGGTAAGATTTAGCATGTTATACCTTATTTAAGAGATTTTTGTATGATTTCACTAATGCAATTTTGACCCTTACTTTACTATGTCATGTTTTCCTTGAAAAAATCGGATGGAAAATACCTCCCTGTCTCCTGACCTCATTTCCTTATTCTCAGGTCATGTGGCAGTAAAATTAACCAATAGTGTTGTTTTTGGCGCATTTTTTCACCCTAAAGCAACCTGTACGTGTTGTAGATTTTTAGCTCACCTGAGCTTGCTCAGGGTGAGCTTTTAGGATCGGTGAATGTCCGTCGTCCGTCGTCCGTCGTCCGTCCGGCCGTCCACAATTACTTGTGAACACTCTAGCGGTCGCATTTTTGCCTCAATCATCATCAAACTTGGTCAGGATGCTTATCTAGTTGAAAGCTCGGATGAGTTCGAACATGGGTCATCTCGGATGAAAAACTAGGTCACAAGAGCTAAAAATAGAAAAACCTTGTGAACACTCTAGAGGTAACATTTTTGACCCAATCATCATCAAACTTGGTCAGGATGTTTGTCTAGGTGATAGCTTGGATGAGTTCGAACATGGGTCATCTCGAATGAAAAAGTAGGTCACAGGAGCTATAAATAGAAAAACCTTGTGAACACTCTAGTGGTCACATTTTTGAACCAATCATCATCAAACTTGGTCAGAATGCTTGTCTAGTCAATTGCTTGGATGAGTTCGAACATGGGTCATCTCTGATGAAAAACTAGGTCACATGAGCTAAAAATAGAAAAACCTTGTGAACACTCTAGTGGTCACATTTTTGACCCAATCATCATCAAACTTTGTCAGGATGCTTGTTTAGATAATAGCTCGGATGAGTTCGAATATGGGTCATCTCGGATGAAAAACTAGGTCACCGGAGCTATAAATAGAAAAACCTTGTGAACACTCTAGTGGTCACATTTTTGCATCAATCATCATCAAACTTGGTCAGGATGCTTATCTAGTTGATAGCTTGGATGAGTTCGAACATGGGTCATCTCGGATGAAAAAGTAGGTCACCAGAGCTAAAAATAGAAAAACCTTGTTAACACTTTAGCGGTCACATTTTTGCATCAATCATCATCAAACTTGATCAAGATGCTTGTCTAGGTGATAGCTCGGATGAGTTCGAACATGGGTCATCTCGGATGAAAAACTAGGTCACAGGAGCTAAAAATAGAAAAACCTTGTTAACACTCTAGTGGTCACAATTTTGACTCAATTGTCATCAAACTTGGTCAGGAAACTTGTCTAGGTCATTGCTGGGAATAAATCGAACATGGGACATTTCGGATGAAAAACTAGGTCACAGGAGCTAAAAATAGAAAAAAATCTTGTTAACACTCTAGTGGCTACTGTTGTGATCCAAATATTCTGTTAATTGGTCTGAAAATTTGTTTTGATGATTTCTAAGTCAAGATCGAACATGGGTCATCTTGGATGAAAAACTAGGTCACACCGCCCAAATATGGAAAAACCTTGTTAACATTCTAGTGGTCACATTTTCGACTCAATTATCATCAAACTTGGTCAGGATGTTTGTCTAGGTAATTGCTTGGATGAGTTCGAAATCGCATGTGAAACTAGGTCACCGGAGCTAAAAATAGAAAAATCTTGTTAACACTCTTGTTGCTACTGTTTTGATCCAAGTATCCTGGAAATTGGTCTGAAAGTTTGTTTTGATGATTTCTAGGTCAAGTTTGAATATGTGTCACCTGGGTAAAAAACTAGGTCGCACTGCTCAAATATGGATAATCCTTGTTAACACTGTAGTGGTCACATTTTTGACTCACCTGTCATGAGACTTGGTCAGAATGCTTGTCTAGGTAATTGTTTGGATGAGTTTGATAATTCAGGTGAGCGATCTAGGGCCATCATGGCCCTCTTGTTTTACGGTTATTATTTGATAAATGAATGTTAATTGAAAATTAATTGGATATGTTTATCTTATTTGGATGGAATGAATTGCCATATTTTCATTAGTTGCTCCACTAAATGTATTATTTTGTTTTTGCAGGTTCGACAATAAAAGTAAAGGTGCTATTTTCCAACCTATATTTTTTCAGCAGAGGAGGTCAAACAGACTAGGGAAACCGTCCGAACCACTGTAAAAATACAACAATAGCATTTATCACATATAATTATGCTTTATTTATGAAAGAAATAAAGAAAAGATAAACTAGTTTTCACTTGTTGATACTTTGCAAGTCTTTGCTCTTGATATTGGTGAACAACGTAAGTAAAAGAATTATGGAGTATAGTCTCCTATTGTGTGTAAATAAATTAGCCAATCAATAGCGTCGTTTTAGGGCACTCTCAATAAAAATGGCCGCTCCTGGGTGAAGTGAAAGTAGGATTGTTAATGAAAAGGAATAGCTGGAAAACAGCTTAAATTTACCAATTTCATAAAGGTTAGAGATTTTTAAAAAAGTTAAAACATTTTATACAATACAATCACATCGTTTTTATAGATGCATACAAAACAATCCTTAAGGGCGTCGAAACTGGTCACTCGAGGGTATACCTTATATATAATATATAGACTATATATTATATATAAGGTATATATCTATATATTATATATAAGGTATATATTTTTTTTTAGAATTACTTTTTTACACTATCCCAACACTGTGCTGGGTCCGAATTACGGACATTTCGGACCACGGACGTTTCGGACCAGACACTTCGGACCAGATTTTGGGACATTTTGGACCATGTGATGGTCATTTCGGACCATGATGGAGACACTTCGGACCAGCACATATATTCCTTTTTATATGTAATTATTTGTTATTTCAGGATGTATTTAATATATTTTCTAATAATAAATGCAACAAATATTTGACATTGTTATATTTTATGATATTCAAAATGCATGCAGTAATGACCTGTCCGACGAGATTTTCACATTTTCTGACAAGCTTATATTACCAATTGACAATTTTTTAATATTGAATTAAAAAAAAAACAATAATAGAATACCTTTAGAACTATATTGGTAAGCGTAGGATATATTTATGCGAATGTCCTTCATACAAAATATAGAGATAATGATACGCTATGTTTAATTTATCTAAAAGAATTGAAATTGATATACGTACCTGTTTCATCAACTATTTGATAATATGTACAATAAGTACACACACATACACACGCAGAATATACCTATTTAAAGTCAATTTTAACCAAATTAAATCGTGTTCTAGCAGGTATTAAAGAACAACGACATCCTTGTCAATGCAGTTTTTCACAAGTTTCACTCAATTAAAGAAGCATATGTATGCAATTTTCACCTAATTTGACAACAAATATTTAAATTGATTGGATTTGATTGGAATGCGATTAAAGTACAGTTTTAATTAACAATAAACAAACTGATTATAATTGTAAAAAAATTGATGTCCAGACTGCAATATAAAAATGTCTTTTTGTATATACTTTATAATTTTTTTTTTGCAAACGTGTCATTAAAACGTTGTTTGTTTGTGTTTTTTTTTTTAATTTTCTTCATTTATAGTGTAAAATATATTATATCTAAATCGCGATAGGTGTAAAATCGTTCTATGGTGTCTCATATATATGTTCTAAAGTTACACTTTAGTTTATAGAATAATTGATACATAACATATAAAAAATATTTATTCTGGTCCGAAACGTCCAAAATAATGGTCCGAAATGTCTAACACATGATCCCAAATGTCCAACACATGGTCCGAAATGTCCAAAACAATGGTCCGAAGTGTCTAACGCATGATCCGAAATGTCCAACACATGGTCCGAAATGTCCAAAAATCTGGTCCGAAATGTCCCTAAATATGGTCCGAAGTGTCCCAAAATCTGGTCCGAAATGTCTGGTCCGAAACGTCCATGGTCCGAAATGTCCTATTACCCTGGGTCCCTGTGGTTATTATTCGGTTATTATCTGTACTCATGAATGTAATTAGTTCTTATTGATTTATTTCCAATAAAAACGAGATAAGACAGAGTTTTTCAATGCTATAAAAACAAAACTCACGGCTTTTTTAAAGGGCGTTAAAACTCCACAACATAGCTACATTTTTTACATTGTTTAACACCTACACTACGGTAGATCTAGAGTACTTCCGTATATAGAGAATAACACAAGTGTCCACTTTATCCACCCTTGTTCAGTAGGGTGAGAGTGTTTTTTTGAACTACCAGTTCAGTGAACTGATCTTATATAATAAAACAGGTAGTGGTTTCGGCGAATTTAATTTATATAGTGCAAACAATATCTATTGTATAATGGGCACATCAATTATCATGGGTCTTAATGTGTGGTTCATCACACATTTTCATGCAATTAAAGACAAGATATTGAAAATTTAATCCTATTATTTATTATTTTCTTTATTGTAATAGTAATATTTACATAAAAGCATAACACAATACAAAAGATCTCAGTGAACAAAGAACATCATAGAAATATATACCACAGATCTTATATTTAGCACACTAACAAACTTGCTTGCATGATTTCAGTCGGCCATATTCCCTAGCCATGAAAGATAATTCCTTGTTTCCCTGTCTAAAATTCCACAAAATTATTCCCCTTTCAAATGAACTCGAAGAAGGGACCTTTTAAAATGACTTTGTATTTATTTATTCGATTTTTTGTTCAGAAACAGACAATTTTTTCTTTACCTTTGTTTAATTTGCTTTCT